ATAAACATTTTCAGGCTCGCAAGATGAGATTTGAATTTTCTGTGTATTTTGTTCTTTCTGATGTGCGCCTCGTGATAGGTTTGATAATTTATATTAATTTAAATCATTGTTTACCACAAATAACTGGTGCTTCAAATTAGCATATTTTGCTTCAAATCCTGGAATGGTTCTGGTAACGCTGTAGTAGCCAGCTCCGATTCTCTGTTTTTGTTGACCAGAGAGCAGCTCTGTGAGCGCTACCCAACAGCTCATAATGCGTATATCGCAGTCATCCCCTTCATCATTCGTCGTACTAGTTTCCAACTTCTACCTTCCTCCGTCCCCTCCGCTGTCCCCAGCGATTCCTTCTCTCTGCTCCGGGATCCCCGCTCTCCTACGTCAGTTTCCGAAGTTAGGAGATTTTATCAAAGCAAAGAGTTGGCAGATCAAAGACGAGCAATCATGGCCGAACAAGGAGCAGGTAGTGACGATCCACGTTATACCTCAATACACTGCAACATGGTACATCATCAGGCACTCACTACCCTAATGATAGACTTCCCTGTGCGAGCCATTGCTGTCGATAAGTATTTTCCAGTACGCATCTCTGTGTTACCTATTTCGCAGCTCCGGTCAGGTCTTTTGCACAAGCAGCTGCGACAGAGGAGGTCGCACAACCGCTGCGATCCGTGCAGATCGACGGCCTCGTGAGTGTCGCAGCGTCGTCCACTTCGTCCTTAATTTCCTTCAAGCCTCTCACTTAGGCTTAGATTCGGCCGCCCCCGTTCTCGCGTAGTCTACTACCCCGACTGCCCTAAACCCTGATTTTAGCGTGGTTTATTATTCTCTTCCTTTTCGTTCGGTACGAATTTCTAGGTTGCGATGAAGATTGACAAGCACTGTAGCGACTGGGCTCCTCAGCTTGTAACGGGTCTGCTGCTTGGTCTCGATATTGGCAGCACTCTTGAAGTCACCAATTGCTTTCCCTTTCCCGTGAGTGATCTTCATCCCTTACCTCTTTTTTTGCACCCTTCTTGCTTCCATTGCTCCGCTGTGCGCAAAAGGTCAGGGGAGTCTGTCACATTTACAGTTTTTCTTTATGCTTGGAAGTCTGTAAGGGGAGAATTTGGCCTGGGATGGGCGTCTGGCCCTTGGATTGCAGATGCTTCGCCGCGGAATCGCGATGTGTTGTTGTTTTCAGTCGCGCGCTTGAGCTATGCGTGTGCGCGTGTGTTCTCATTTTGGGTGTGTGTTTGGGAAATGGGATTGGTGCCGGCGTGCGTGTGATGCATATGTGTGAGGCCGTGTGCGCCATGGCACATGGCAACATGCATGGCATTCCGCATGGCCTCATGGACGGCATGATACGTGCCACGATGCATGGTGTTACGCGGCATGATGTATGGCATGACATATGGTATGGCATGGGGTGTGGCATGGTGTCGCGTGTTCCGCACTCGCAGAGCCGGGGAGGCGAGGAGGAGGAGGAGGAGGAGGCGGACGGTGCCATGTATCAGCTGGAGATGATGCGCTGCCTGCGCGAGGTCAATGTCGACAACAACACCGTTGGCTGGTAGGTCGTATGTTCTACCTGGGGTGCGTATGCCCCACAAGTGCCATGTATCAGCTGGAGATGATGCGCTGCCTGCGCGAGGTCAACGTTGACAACAACACCGTCGGATGGTATGATGGTCGGATTTCATATGCTCTTGGGTGTGGTGTAGTGCGATCAAGTGCGGTGTTCAACCCAGCCCCTCTTCTCCTCCCTCTGCTTTCTCTTCACTCCCCTCCGCCCCTCTCTCAGTTCTTGCTTCTTTTCTCCCATCTTCCCGCCACTCACCGCCCCCGCATTCCCCCGTTTCTCCCCGTCCCCTCCCCCATGCTCCCCACCTCCTCCCCCCCCCCCCCTCTCTCTCCCCTCCCCCGCAGGTACCAGTCGACGACGCTGGGCTCGTTCCAGGCGGCGGACATGATAGACACGTTCGCCAGCAGCGTTTCTTCCGTGACCTGAACTGAACCCCCTCCTCCCCCGTGTCCCACCTTTCCTCCCGTGACCTGCGCCACCCTCCCCTTCCCCCCAACAGGTACCAGTCGACAACGCTGGGTTCCTTCCAGACGGCGGACATGATAGAGACGTTCGCGAGCTACCGCGAGAACATCAAACGCTGTGTGTGCCTCGTCTACGACGCCGACCGCGCTGCCGCCCGCGGCACCGTGGCGCTCAAGGCGCTCACGCTCAAGGCGCCCTTCCTGGAGATGTTCAAAGCGGGCACGCTCACGGGGGAGAAGTGAGTGTGTGGTTTGGGGGGGAGGGGGGGTGGTGGTGGTAGGAGTGGGCGGGGGACAAGTGTGGGAAGAAAAGGGTTATGGGGGGTGTGATGGAGGGCGTGTTGGGGGGGAGAAGGACGGATGCAGGAGGAGGAGCAAGTCTGGCAGCAGACCGGTGAATTCTTATCACAAGGTATTCACTCGGGTACGGTACGGGTGTATCACAGGTTGCTTCAGACAATCATTCCCCCAAGGCACCGTTTCTGCCAGTGTCCAAATTCCTGCACCCCCTTGGTGCTTGCTGCCGCCACTGCTGCCGCTGCTGTTGCCGACTCTGCTGCTGTTCCCTCCTCTCTCACTCTCTCTTTGCCAGGTTGAGGGAGAGTGACACATCGTGGGCGGGGATATTTGAGGAGATCCCAGTGAAAATGGCCAACTCCACGCTCGTCTCCACGCTCATCGCCTCCCTGCACCCCCCCGCTGCCGACGCTGCTCCCTCGCGCACCGACTTTGACCGCCTGCTGCTGGGCACCAACCCCTTCCTCGAGACCAACCTGGGGTGCCTCTCTGACTGCATGGATGATCTGAGTGCGGAGCAGCAGCGGGTGAGTGGGAGGGTAGGGCTAGTCGCATTAGAGCGCTTGTTGTATGCGGGCCTGGCAGTGGCAACACGAGGCTCACTTTGACCGCCTGCTGCTGGGCACCAACCCCTTCCTTGAGACCAACCTGGGGTGCCTCTCTGACTGCATGGATGATCTGCGTGCGGAGCAGCAACGGGTACTTCCCCTCGTTTCGTACCATGAGGCTCCCTCTTGCCTGCCGCGCCATGTACCCCCGTTTCTGCTTTCATTTACCCCCTTACCCTCCCCTCCCCTCCTGAGTTACAATTCTTCCCATGCGAATTGTTTTTTGAGTCGACTCAAAAGTCACCTCGCTTTCCGGACATTTGAGTTCCAGCTTTTCCATGCGATTAGGAGATAAACATGGAGGTTTCCAGTTCGCTTCCCTTGACTTCTCACAGACTCGCCTCGTTTCCGTCCAACCCCCCTTCCTCCTGTTCTTTCCCCATCCCCGCCTCCTCTTCTCCCCACTCTCCGTGTGTCCCTCTCGCCCCTGCAGTTCCAGTACCACTACTGCAGTGTGCAGCGCCAGCAGCAACACTTTTGTGAATTCTGAAAAGTGTCCTCTTTTCCCCCGCCTCTCTGTGCGTGTCCCTGGCCCCATGCTGCCCCCCTGCAGTTCCAGTACCACTATCGCAGTGTGCAGCGCCAGCAGCAGCAGCAGCTAGCATGGGTGCAGAAGAGAAGGTGGGTGCAGGGCAGGGGGGTTGTTGGGGCGTGCTTGTTTGTTTGCATTTGCTATTTGTCCCCGTACAGGTGTGGTGTGATTGGGAATGTCTGTCCTCAAGGAGGGCTTCCTGAGACAGCAGAATGACTTGCACTTCCTTTTCTGAACCCCCTGAGACACGCGTACTCATGTTCACACATCTGCCCACTCTTACTCACTCACACGCTATGTATGCATTCCCATGGTTTTGGCAGATCCGACAATGCGAGGTGACTTCTGAGTCGACTCTAAAGTCACCTCTTACTCACTCACACGCTCTCTATGCATTCCCATGGTTTTGGCAGATCGGACAATGCGCTGAGGAGGGCAGCAGGGGAGGAGCCGTTACCAGAGGAGGCCCATCCCTTGACCCACTTGTGCATGCATTCCCACTCCCTCTCACACTCCCTCACTCCCTCGCTCTTTGGCAGATCGGACAATGCATTGAGGAGGGTAGCAGGAGAGGAGCCGCTACCAGAGGAGGATCCCACCAACCCCATCTTCAAGCCCATCCCTGACCCACTGAAACACACATACACATGCTCACCCACTCCCGCTCCCACTCACTACCCACTCACTCACTGCTTTGGCAGATCGGACAATGCACTGAGGAGGGCAGCAGGGGAGGAGCCGCTACCAGAGGAGGATCCCACCAACCCCATCTTCAAGCCCATCCCGGAGCCCTCGCGCATTGACATGCTGCTCACCACCAACCAGATCGCCAACTACTGCGCGCAGATCAACGAGTAAGCACGTTCTCTTTGTATAGTTGTATACAACTATGGTAGCATGTATATTTTTCTGTGGAAATTATTGACCACACTTAGCTCCTGATACTCAGTCTCACAGCTATATGAATGCATTTTTTCATTGCCTGTTTTCTTCTTTTTTTGCTGTTTGCAGGTTTAGCGGCCCGGCTCTTAGCAAGCTTTATCTCATGGATGCTCTTAATGGAGCATCTTGAGTGATTCTGCTATCTCAAAACCTATGGTATTTTTGTCAAATATAAATATATTTTCGATGCTTGTGATAACTTAGGTAGGTCTGTAACAGTTGGGCCACCAGTGGTTTCTTGGAATGTTAACACCAAGTTCGTATTGGATGCTGTTCACTAACGCGTACAATAAGTTGAACATCCCACGGGACGCACTAATTTCTTTGCCACAATTGTTCCTGAATTTCAGTTCCACGTTGGCAGTTCCTCGCTAGTGAAGAACGGCTTTGTTGACTGCTTCCGATGCCTGTACCATGAACAAACGATTTTTCAATAGCCTTGTCTAAGAACGAGTTGTGGGTTTTAACACATGTCCCTCTGACCGAAAGCTGGTCGCATTAGCCGGAAATTGCGCAAGATTCTTTGTGTAATTCATTGAATCCGTTATTCCGCGAGGACCGTCGAAACTCTCCGTTTGTGCCAATATCGAGGGATGGACGCGTCGGAGAGCGCACAGGAGCTGCAGGTGCAAACGCAGGAGGTGACAATGGAGGGGGAGACGCCGTCGCGGCAGGTGCGAGCGACGGTGGTGCAGGCGGCCACAGTGATGTACAACACGCCTGCCACGCTGGACAAAGGTGATTACTGCCACGCTGGACAAAGGTGATTACTGCCACGCTGGACTAAGGTGATTACTGCCACGCTGGACAAAGGTGATTACTGCCACGCTGGATGAATGCCATGTTTTATTTTTCTACTTTACTTGTAAAGAGTAACGTGCGTTTCCAGGCTACATTGCGGAATGCTGGCGTATCCCCCATGGTGTGCTCAGTGGTACATGCGTCTTTCTTCTCCCTCCTCCTCCTCCCAGCCGAGCGACTGTTGGCGGAAGCGGCGCAGCTGGGTAGTCAGCTGGTGGTGTTCCCAGAGGCGTTCATAGGCGGCTACCCCAGGGGCGCCAGCTTCGGAGTGCTGGTGGGGTCGCGCACGGACCGAGGGCGCGACGAGTTCCGACGCTACCACGCCTCCGCCATTGATGTGCCGGGTGGGTGGAGAGGGGTGGACGTGGGAATGTGGGGCGTGGGCGTGGTTATGAAGGTGCTTGTAAGGTTGCGCACGGACCGAGGGCGAGACGAGTTTCGACGCTACCACGCCTCCGCCATCGATGTGCCGGGTGGGTGGTGAGGGGTGCATGGGGCAACGGAAATGGGGACGTGGTGATTTATCAAGGTGCGTCAGAAGCCGTGTTGGAGTGCTGGTGGGGTCGCGCACGGCCCGAGGGCAGGACGAGTTCAGACGCTACCACGCCTCCGCCATTGATGTGCCGGGTGGGTGGAGAGTGAGGGAAGGCGGGGGAAGGGGGCAGGGGGGAGGGGGGAGGGCGGAGGGGGGGAGGGGGGAGGGGGGAAGGGAGGAAGGGGAGGGGGGGGGATGGAGGGTGGGAGGGGAAAGCGGGCGGGAAGGTGGAGGTGGGAGTGGGGATCAGTTTTTTGAGAATTAGAAAACAAACGGAAGGCCGATGGCACAGTGAGTTGACGCTCAGGATTTGTAGCTGCCATTGATGCGCCATTGGTGCTTTTTGTCCTCAACTCTTCCCTCCTCTCCTCCCCCACACTCACCCAGGTCCCAAGGTGGCGCGCCTGACAGCAGCAGCAGCCAAGCTCGGAGTATTCGTCGTCATGGGGGCAATCGCCAAGCATCATACCTCACCTCCCCTCGCATCCTCTCCTTTCCCCACCATCCGACCCCCCCCCCACCATCCCCCACCCAGGTCCCGAGGTGGCGCGCCTGACAGCAGCAGCAGCAGCCAAGTTCGGAGGACAATCGAGGTGATTTTTGAGTCAACCCAAAATTCCTCCTCTCCTCCCCCACCATACCCCAGGTCCCGAGGTGGCGCGCCTCGCAGCAGCAGCGGCCAAGTTCGGAGTATTCGTCGTCATGGGGGCGATCGAGCGGGCGGGCGGCACGCTCTACTGTTCAGTTCTGTTGATCGATCCGCGCCTGGGCCTGGTCGGGAGGCACACTGTTGTTTCAAACACCCAGCTTCATTTGCCTTCCACTCCCCTCCCCTCCCCTCCCCTTTCCCCACAACCCCTTTCAGGTCCCGAGGTGGCCCGTCTCACAGCAGCAGCAGCCAAGTTCGGCGTCTTCGTAGTCATGGGGGCAATCGAGCGGGCGGGCGGCACACTCTACTGTTCCGTACTGTTCATCGACCCGCGCCTGGGGCTGGTCGGGCGGCACAGGAAGACAGTGCCGACCGCTTTGGAGCGCGTGATATGGGGGTGTGGCGACGGCAGCACGGCAGCAACGGTGGTGGATGCGGGGGGGGTGGGGCGGGTGGGCGCTGCAGTGTGCTGGGAGAATCGCATGCCCATGGTGCGCATGGCGCTGTATGGGAAAGGTGAGACTGGGGGAGGTGGGACTGGAGGAGGTGAGACTGAGAGAGGTGAGATTGAGGGAGGTGAAATTTTTGTTGCTGAGACAGCCCACAACCCACAACCCACAGCCCACAGCCCACAACCCACAACCCACAACCCACAACCCACAACCCACAACCCACAACCCACAGCGTACAGCCCCCCACAGCCCACAGTGCAGTGCATACCTCCTCCTTATCTCTCCACCTCCCAGTACTCTCTCCCTCATTCATTCTCCTTCCCCTTGTTTCACTCCGTCCCCCTCAGGAGTGGAGCTCTACTGTGCGCCCACAGCACACTCTCGCGACTCCTGGCAGGCCACCGTGCAGCGCATGGAGTGGAGCTCCTTGTTTCAGCACTCCCTCCCCATCATCCTTCCACTTGTTTCACTCCATCACCGTGCACAATATGCCTCCTCGTGAGATGAGTCGACTAAAAAATCGACTCCTCTCGCGACTCCTGGCAGGCCACCACCGTGCACAATATGCCTCCTCGCTCCCTCTCCTCTCCACGTCCCATGCCTCCTCGCTCCCTCTCCTCTCCACATCCCATGCCTCCTCGCTCCCTCTCCTCTCCACGTCCCATGCCTCCTCGCTCCCTCTCCTCTCCACGTCCCATGCCTCCTCGCTCCCTCTCCTCTCCACGTCCCATGCCTCCTCGCTCCCTCTCCTCTCCACGTCCCATGCCTCCTCGCTCCCTCTCCTCTCCACGTCCCATGCCTCCTCGCTCCCTCTCCTCTCCACGTCCCATGCCTCCTCGCTCCCTCTCCTCTCCTCTCCACGTCCCATGCCTCCTCTCTCCCTCTCCTCTCCTCTCCACGTCCCATGCCTCCTCTCTCCCTCTCCTCTCCTCTCCACGTCCCATGCCTCCTCTCTCCCTCTCCTCTCCTCTCCACGTCCCATGCCTCCTCTCTCCCTCTCCTCTCCTCTCCACGTCCCATGCCTCCTCTCTCCCTCTCCTCTCCTCTCCACGTCCCATGCCTCCTCGCTCCCTCTCCTCTCCTCTCCACGTCCCATGCCTCCTCTCTCCCTCTCCTCTCCTCTCCACGTCCCATGCCTCCTCTCTCCCTCTCCTCTCCTCTCCACGTCCCATGCCTCCTCTCTCCCTCTCCTCTCCTCTCCACATCCCATGCCTCCTCTCTCCCTCTCCTCTCCTCTCCACGTCCCATGCCTCCTCGCTCCCTCTCCTCTCCTCTCCACGTCCCATGCCTCCTCTCCCACAATTCGTCCCTGTGTTTCACCCCTGCCTCATCGCTCCCATCCCATCCCATGCAGGAGTGGAGCTTTACTGTGCGCCAACAGCAGACTCGCGGGACTCCTGGCAGGCCACGGTGCAGCACATAGCGCTCGAGGGCGGCTGCTTCGTCCTCTCTGCCAACCAGTTCTGCGTGCGCTCCGACTACCCTCCGCCCCCGGATTTCGTCTTTTCCGCGTCCGGGCGGCTGGATACAGACGAGCCGCCGCCGTCCGCCGTGGTGTGCCGGGGCGGCAGTGTGATTGTGTCTCCGCTGGGCCGGGTGCTGGCCGGCCCAAACTATGACGGGCAGGCACTGCTGACCGCTGATCTCGGTAAGTCGAGTTGTTGTTTTGTTCCATTTCTTTTCAAAGCTGTATTGGTATTTTAATTAATCACGACGTGCCGTATCAATACCCGTTTCTAATCATCCACTTGCCCCAGTCCCCACCGCCCCCCACCAGACATGGGTGACATCATACGAGCCAAGTTTGACTTTGATGTCACGGGGCACTAAGCACTGCGGGTTTTGAGTCGACTTAGATCTCACATCTCCTCCGCCTCCCCCCCCTACCCTACCCCCGCCCCACCACCAGACATGGGTGACATTGTAAGAGCCAAGTTTGACTTTGATGTCACGGGGCACTACGCACGGCCGGATATATTCTCACTGCGTGTTAAAGAGGTGTCTACAGTGCCTGTACAGTACGATAACGAGTCTGCGCCGTGCCACATGCTTCATTATAAGCACCACCACCACCACCAACAGCAGCAACAACAGCAACAGCAGCAGCAGCAGCAACAGGAGGAGCAAAGGATGTGATGCAATTAAAGAATATACTGTTGAGTTGATGTGACAGCAAACACACTCAAAGGCAGCATTTGCGTGCCATTAACCACTGACATTTTACTGGAGAAATGCAGAGCCCTTTTTAGTCGATGGAAAGGGTCTTGTACATGCTTTCGCACAGCAAGCTCGGTTCACAATCACATGATGAAGACCATTGGAAAAGCCTTTGAATTAGCATTCTTGCGTTTTCCTCTTTATGTAATCCAATGAGTCAGTGAGATGTGACAGATGTACAATCTGTAGATTCGAAGTGGGAAATAGATGTCTTCACTCAACGCTGACAAATGGGCCACTTGTGACTAGAAAAAAAAAAAAGGAAACTTAAGCATTGTATAAACCAATACCGTAAGGAGGTACACTAATGTGGCCCAAAAACGAGCTTTGCAGTATCAAGCCAGACAGTCACCTGTCTGTGGGAGCAAAACGGAAACAGTAGAAAGGAACCTGAACGTGATACCCCAAAGCCATAAAGCAGCAGCAGCAGCAGCAGCCCGAGCAAGGAGCGAGTGACCCATCCTCGAGCAACTCATCCTCAGGCTAAGCCGCAGTCTTTCAAAATCCAAAACGTAGGCACAGGGACGATCACTCCACAGCCCCTCACCTCCTCCTCCAGCCACCCACCATCCCCGTCTCTCCACCCTCCTCTCTTCACCCGCCTCCCTTCCTCCCCTTTATCCCTCCTCTCTATGCCCTCCTCTCTCCACCCTCTTCCACCTCCTCCCCTCTACCACTTGACAAAGACACCACCCCACAGCCACCACTCCACCTTCGCCCACCAGTGCCCCAGCAATCATCCACCTCTCACCTCCCCCCTCGCCCTGCCCTACCACCCGCCAACCCTTTGCGCCAACCTGATTCATGGCTTGGCTGAATCCATCACAAGCCCATCCATCACAAGCCCATCCATCACAAGCCCATCCATCACAAGCCCATCCATCACCCGTCCTCTGCAGGCTTGTGGTGGGTTCACAGATGCCTGTCCTCTGCACCACCCTGCCACCCGCCAAGCCTGCAAACCACTCTGTCACACCGTCCTCTGTCAACCCTGTAAATCTCGCCCTCCTCGCCATCTTCCTCTCCATCCCCGTCCCCCGCACCATCCGCCCCTCCGCCCTACCACCCGCCCGTCCGCTGCGCCGGCCTGCCTTGCGCCTCCCCCGCGTCCCTGCCCGGCCCCGCAGTGCTCCTGCTGCCGCCGCGCCACGCGTCCCCCTTTCCCGCAGCCACACCCTCCCCGCTCGCAACCGTATTGCTCCGCCACGCGTCCCCGCCTCTCCTCGCGCCCCCGCCCCACGCATTGCCATTCGCCAACGGCGCACCACCAGCAGCAGCACCAGCAGCAGCAGCAACCCCTTCTCCTCCTGCTCCTCCCCCGCCTCCTCCTTCTCTTACAGCCCCGTCTGTTCCTGCGCCAGCCTCCTTAGCCTGCTTCTCTCTCGCCTGCTTCTGCGCGTACTTGACCTTCGCGTCCAGCTCTAGCACCAGCTGTTCCAGCTGCCGCCGCTTCTCCGCAACTTCCTTCTCCAAGGCCGAAACTTCCTCAGGTGAAAGCTCAGGTGCCGCCGCGCTTGTGTCATCCTCTGTCTTGGTCCCCTCTTCCCCCGTCCCCTCACCCGCCTTCTCCGCCTTGGCTCCCCCTTTGCCCGTGGCGGCCTGAAGCTTCGCGGCAAGCGCGTCCACCTCCTCGCGAAGCTTCTTCTCTTCTTCCGTCTCGGGTCTGCAAAAAAGCAAAGAAAAATACCGCCAAATGCAGAAAGGGGCGAGGAGGAGGATGAGGGGAGGAAGGGTAGTGAGGGGAGAAGGGGAGGGAGTCAGGGAGGGAGGGGAGAAGGGAACGAAACCATCGGCTGCAAGGGTGTCGAGTCAGCGCTAGACATTCACCGTCATCCCCACTCTGCGCTCTCCAATTACAGCACAGGCTCGCGCAAAAGTCTGGAAAGCCCTGAACCCCCGCAAAGCACATACTGCTTCGCATGTCGAGTCCCTCGACACTGCGTTTACTTCCCAGAACCAAACAACGACGCGCGATAATCTCCTGAAATTGTACCGAGTCGACTCAAAAGCAGCGTCGCGAATCGAGTCTGACGACAGCGCTGTCCAGTGATCTCCAGGTTGACACGCCGAGATTCGAATCTGAACACGCCCAGAGACGACACGACTGCAAACCTAATAGTGATGTACTCGTGATTCTACATGGCAAAAGTCACCTCGAAATTGAGGGTTCGCCCTTGATGATTCTTCCCATAAAATCCGACAGCAGGGACCGCAATCTCAAAAGCGTTATCGCTGTTCTTGTTTGAGAAACATTGTTACACACCTCACAACCCCATTGTGTTCAAGCTCATATTTCATACGCGTTTATAAAGTTCCTCGGTAACACGCACCTGTCGACGCCCTTATGCTCCAGCTCCAGATCCATCTTCCGCCAGTCCATTCCGCGCTCCTCCAGCGCAACCTCCCGCGGCTTCGCCTCCCCGAACGGGTTCACCGCCGGCTTAGACGCCTTCACCTCAGCCGCGGGCTCTGCCGCTGCGCCGCTGGCGGAAGGGGAGTCGGGCGCAACGGGGATGCCCTTCTCCGCCAGCACCTGCTCGCGCGGGCGCGCCTCTCCGAACGGGCTCGGCTTCTTAGGCTTGTTCGCATCCTCCGCGCTCCCCGCGCTTCCGCCCTCCCCCTCCGCGACAGGCTTGCGCGGCTGAAGATTCAGGCGCGGCCGCTCCGACGGGCGCTCTTCGCGGGGCTCCTTCCCCCAGCGATCCGCCTCGAGTCCTTCCCGCGGACCATCCCTGGGTCCGTCCCGCCTGCCGTCCCGGCTAGCGGACGGCACGAATTTCTTCGCCGCGCCCCAATTGTCCACCTCATCCGCACGTGCGCCCTCGCGATCGTCGAATCCTCCGCCACCTCCGCGCCCGCCGAACCCTCCGCGGCTGCCGCCGCCGCCGACGGACGCGGAAGGGACGTACTTCTTCGCCGCGCCCCAGTTGTCCGTTTCGTCGGCACGTGACGGGCCGCCCATGCGGTCGCCGCGATCCCCGCGATCCCCGCGGCCGTCCATGGACTGAGACGGCTGGAATTTCTTCGTCGCGCCCCAGTTGTCCACTTCGTCAGCCCTTGACGGACCGTCACGTCCTGGACGGCCACCGTCGTCTTCGTACCGGCCGCCGCGAGACCTGCCGCCGTCACCAGACGGCACAAACTTTTTAGTCGTTGCCCAGTTGTCCACCTCGTCTGCCCGAGACGGTCCGTCGTCTTCCCTCGGCGGCCGTTCGCGATCCTCGCGACGGCCATCGCGGCCTTCGCGACCGCCTCCCCTGTCGCCGCCGCGGAAACCACCGTAACCACGGAACCCGCCGCCTAATCCGCCGCTTTCCTCATCTTCGCTGCGCTCCCTAGGCCCCGTCGGAAGCGCCATCTTCTCCTGGAACGTAAGGCCCTTAACGTCCTCCACTATAGTAGTCCTGGATCGCGCTCCGGGACCTACATACGCGCCTGTAGTAAACTCGGAAAGAGAGAGAGTCACTTTTTCCTTCTTCTTCTTCTGCGGCTTGGCTGCAGCCTGTCCTAGAGTAGGAAAGGCGTCATCGGACGGCTTAGATGCGGCCTGCGCGAGCTCCGGGAAAGCGGGAGGAGGAAGCTCTTTGTCCCCCTCCTCGACATCGTCTGCCCATGATTTTGATCCCCATGCGGACTTCGCCATGGCTGAGTTACTAGGACCCGCTTCCGGGCTGGAATGAGCTGAGAAAAAGCAAGGAGGATGAAACGGTTGAGGATAGAGGAGAAGGCTACTAAAGAGAGCATGGATCGAGAACAGAGGGTGAGGGGGTTTTGGTGGAGCCGAAGAGGATGAGATGCGAGGGGTTGGGGTGGGCTAGGGGATGGGGGTTTGTGTTGAGCATGTTACCAGACGAGGTTTCCATGTAACGGTTGATGTAGGAGATTGGGGCGGGGCAGGTGAGGTTGGTTTGTGGTTCCAGGACACCAGAGTTTTGTGAGGTTGGGCAGGGTCCGCCGTGGGATTCTAGAAATTCAGATTTCCGAAGGTGTGGGAGCTGCTGCCACCTGCCCGTCAGTCTCCCGCGCTTTCCTACCCTTGGCAGGCACCGCGTCGCCTGAGCTGTAGGGATGAGATTCTTCCTACCTGCTCGAATGTTGGTTCGGCCTGTCGAGCCTACAGTATTTTGGGAGGTTTGGACATGCCAGCCTCCTCTGGCCTTGGAGCGTCGCTATTAGCATGTGCCGATATCCAAGTTGATGTAGTTATTGTTTACAGTTTCAAGAAGTTTGAAGAGTATGATGCTGTATATATGAGTTAGCTTATTTTCAACAATGAACGGGGAGGACCTATGAAACGGAAAAAAAAACAACATTCTCACTCGAGTTTTGTTTTTCATTGCAAGTGCTTGGTTGATATGGAATCTGCTACAAGGTGCATAAATTGTACCATTGTTTTTCGGCAAGCGCATCCATCGAGTGTAGTACAGCCTGTTACTCGCCTCTTCAGCCAGAGACTTGGAACGAACACACACGAGCGAGGACATATATCAATCATTGCACCAGTTCTGTAAATCCAAGCTATGTCACGACTACGCCCTGCATGCTGAGCTGAGCCGTTTCCGCATGAAAGCTTCCTCTGTTTGACCATGGAACCCCTCAGGGCTATGGGACTAGGGCACCCTTGGCAAATGGATCTCAAAGTTCCCTTCTGTAGCGCTGTAGTCTGCTTGAGGTGGCAGTATTGTCAGAATATTATGCTCTAGCCTGTAGTGGGGTGCTCTATAGCGAGTACAACCCTTCTAGGGTTTGCTATTTGTATCCTCATTCTTGCTAGTGCTCCTCTCCCTTCTTTCTTTTAAACTTTTACATGCTATCAGAGCAGGTCGATCCCCTTGGATCGATCCTGTGGGTGGGCTCACCACCTCGTTGCTTCCGCTGCAACTTCCACTGCTACCCTCTGTGCCGCACGCCCCGTGGCGTGCGGCAGTTTTTTCTTCCCGCCGTGCGCCCCGAGGCGCGCGGCGGTTTTCTGCCCGCCGTGCGCCCCGTGGCGCGCGGCGGTTCTCTGCCCGCTGTGCGCCCCGAGGCGCGCGGCGGGCTTCTGCCCCGTCACTCGGCGCGTCGCCCTCGGGAGGCGCTGCGACGGGCGACGGGGACCCGCGCGTCGCCCCCCGTCGCCCGTCGTGGCCTGCGCGCGGCCCGTACAGGCTACGCGCGGCCCGTAAGGGCTGCGCCAGGCCCGGACGCGGCCCGTACGGGCTGCGCCAGGCCAGCGCGCGGCCCGTACGGGCTGCGCCAGGCCCGCGCGCGGCCCGTACGGGCTGCGCCAGGCCCGCGCGCGGCTCGGGCCGCCTGCGCGCGGTTCGGGCGGCTGTGCCAGGCCCGTGGGCGGCCCTTTCCTCGCTGCCCCTTCCCTCCCCGCTGTCCCCCGTGCTTCTACTGGCGCCCCACCCCTCCTACAGCCCGTTCTCCTGCATTAGGGTTTGGGGGTGAGGGGTATGGGGGTGAAGCCACTGTGTGCCGTTCCCTGCTCCTCCTCCTCCTCCGTCTCCCTGTGCTGCAGCTGCCACTGAGGGGGGGTGGACTTGTTGGAGCCGTTGGAGTGGTACTCAGGGGGGGTGAAGGGGGAGTGGAGCTAGCGGTGTAGCAGCGGGTGTGTGTCAGGGGGAGTGGGATAGTTTGGGGAGGTTGAAGGGGGTGGCCGCCGTGCAGCCAGCAGCTCCAGTCGCCCGTGAGACCGTTGCGCCAGTCGCCCGTGAGCCCGTTGCGCCAGTCGCCCGTGAGCCCGTTGCTCCAGTCGCCCGTGAGTCCGTTGCTCGTCTGCCGCTACTTTTAGCCGCGGAGCCAGTTACTCCAGTAGCCCGTGTGCCAGTTGCT